TTGTGAGTATGGGATAAGCTTTTATTACTTTTACAGTGTTACATATATAAAATATGTAATATCAATATTTTTGAAATAAATATCGTTTTAGATTAATGTATACGAAAAAGTACTCGTAGATATTATTCCTGTACATTGTAGAAATGCATAGGTTAGTACAATTCTAGGAGTTTCTCTAAAAGGTCGAATTCGAAACAAAGTTATTTATCAGAAAATTAAGCCAACGGACATAGCTCAGTGAATTATCAAACTGGTGATGTTGGACAGGCAATATATAGCTTTAAACTAACGACCCTTTGTAATGATTATTGTTTTAATACTTATTAATGTTTCAATTTTAGCCATGGTAATTAAATCTACAAGACATAAGAATCTGCTTAATGTTTTTAAGCCACAGCCGTAGTTTCAATTCTATATTATTTATAGTAAAATGTATTAAACATTTAATTTATGAATTCGAAAACAAGTTTTCATGGTTTAAAAAATTCTTACTTTAAGAAGAAAATATATGAACTGCTCGATACTATCAGATCCGTTCAATGCCAGTTGTTGTCATGCCTATCCAATAAATTATTGTTTGTGGCCCCTCATTCTGTCCGTGCATACCAGGTTAACAGTGGTCTTCAATTAAATGAAAAGGGGATCAATTTATTACCTACCCTTTGAAAGCTCATTTATTTAAATGAAAGCATTAGTGTACAGCAATATATATTTCTTCGACAATTCCGATCAAGACTCAAGACAATACTCGTGACCAAATTAAAGAAATTTTATTTAGTATAGGAATTGATATAAATAATAAAAATAATGCTTTTAGTATATTTTAAAACTGCTCAATTCACAGAATAATTTTATATAAACATTTATGATTCTCAAAATGTACTGAAAATGCTTATTACATATAAATTTATGCGTTTCAATTGTGAAAATCCAGAAAAATTAAAAACTCCATAGGTGTATAATGGAGCTTGAATGTCTGCGTAAAAACATTACATTCAAATCAGTATGGTACTAAAATATTCATGGAATAAATAATACATTCTAGTATCTTTAAAGAAAATTCCTTGAATAGGAATGTAACAAATCAATCGTTTATAATATGAAGTGATGGGGATATGTCAAGACAAAACAAATGTTTTACGTTCAATGATAAATATATTATTTATTTTCCCTTTATTGAGTTTTTATTTATACATATTTATATTCATAACTTTAATTTTCTGTGTTCTGCTTCATGGTATTTAAGTCTATTTGACATATTATAATACTCGAAAATTTTATCTAAAATGTGATTTTCGGAATACCATTCTATTTTTCAATGAAGCAGTACGAGATATAGGCAATCAATGCTATGATTATTTAAATTAATTCTATACAAAAGGGTTCTATTCACTTTTATATTCAAATTTAACTTAACCAAACAAAATCACCACTTATATTTTGTGGCTGTTCTCGTTCGAATTTATGGAAATATATTTATAAAGATAATTTAAATTCTAATTGTTATAAATCCATACTTCGTAACTGTCTATTCATGTATGCATTACTGAAAAGGGTCTTTTTACCAACGAAAGCTTTTCAATTTCTGTAGTAACGCATTCTCTACTTACTATATATTTTTATCAGATTCAGTATTAGTAATCAGCAGAAATTAGAACTGTTGCTTTACTATCATAAAGTATATTAAGTTTTTATGTTCTATTGCCGTACCTGAAATCACCAAGGTCACAATATCAAATTACGCACATTATATATGTTTACGATTTCGTTACATTGTCACATTATCTATATATTTTAGATTTTCCTACACACCATTTAGAACCTAGAACACTATTACTACCAGCATTTACCACGATCAGAAGCCCGACGATAAATAATCGCGTAACGTAGCTGTCCCCACCGTTTATTAAAAACCACAATGAAACTCATTACAAAATGAATTTCTAATACATATTTCATGAAAAGAGTACTTCATACATACATACGCGCTGCACTTGAAGCATTAGATAAATAATACTCCAGCTGATTTCTACCTGCATTATTTCAAATAACATAATGGAATGTAAACATTGTTCTAATGCTTTAAAATCGGAGGATATAATTAAATGCACAGCTTGTCATAGTATCTATCACTATTTATGTGTTGGTATGAGTGAAACAGTTTTTAAAAAGTTACTTTCTAAGAATAAAGCAAAGTGGAAATGTCCAGTTTGTAAGATTTCCAAGAAGCCTTGTCACAATATTAGCCCTAAACTTCCTAACACCTCTGAAAAGATTAATATATCTCAATCCCAATTGGACATAAAATCATTAATTGATAATTTTGATGACCGCTTCAACAGTTTAAATTCTACTATGGAATCTTTTAAAACTTTTATCACCGAGGAACTGAAAAAGCTTTCGGAGACTGTTAGCTTTTGGTCAACAAAAATTAAATCTTTCGAGTCGTCAATTAATTCGGTGGTAGAACACATGAATAACCTAGATATTGAAGTATCCAGAATAGATAAGTTTGGAACGGAACTCGAGGAAATGAAGATAAAATTTAAAGAGCTATCAGAAAATAACCACAGAAATGAACAATGGGTGCGCCGTTCTAATATACAAATAAATGGCATTCCACAAAAGAAAGGCGAGAATTTAATAACTATTATAAAAACATTAGCCGAAAAAAGTGGATATCCTTTAAACTTCAATACGGATGTCGATTTTGTAACAAGAGTTGCAGTAAAAATGATACGTATGATAATCATTCCAGTAAAATTATTTTGAAAATGCAAGCCCGATATAAAAAAGATGACTTTCTTTCATCACTACGTAAATTAAAAAACCTGAAAGCAAGCGACATTGGTTTCCCTGGCAAAAATAATCCGATATATATTAATGATCACCTGTCCGCATACAACAAGCTTCTTCTCAGTGAAGCTAGACGTAGAGGAAAAGATACAGGCTACTTATACTGTTGGGTCCGAAACTTTACCACACCGACCACAAAAATCTATTTTATTAAGTTTTTAATTTTTATTATATTTGTATTTACCGTCGTTAAAATTTTTACTGTATTTTTTATAAACTCTGAGCTAGTATGTAATATTGTATATTTGGGAATGTTCTCCAATTTTAAATTGTCATACGAACACTTAGGTCCAAATTTTAATCTTTTGAAATTTATTTTAAAGTCAGTTAGCATTATTACTCATAAGCATTATTACCCAAAAAGTAGTATATATTAATATGAACTTATGTATCTTCTATCAAAATGTTAGAGGTTTGCGCACCAAAACTAAACAATTTTATACTAATTTGTTAAACACTTATTATGACATAATTTGTTTAAGTGAGACCAGGTTACTTCCTGGTATTTTCGATGAAGAACTTTTTGATCCCAGCTATAATGTGTATCGTAATGATCGTGATTATACACGCCTTGGAATGAGTATGGGTGGAGGTAGTCTAATAGCGGTACGCCATGGCTTATGTGTTGATGTGCAACACTCAGGAATACCATTGTCTCTTCCAGACGCTGATATATCATTATATCAACAAATGTTAATGTAAATGAACCTAACTTACGCTCTGCGTCACGCTGTTTCCTTACTGCGGATTATGAAGCAATTAACAAGGAATTAAATAATATTGATCGGGTTGAACAATTTTACTTAATTATTTAAGTTTTGGATAGACATATACCAGCCAGAACAGTAAATGAATCATCTAGATATGCAGTATGGTTTTCAAGATCATTAATAAAACTCATTAAGAAGAAATTGCGAATACATAAGCGAATATATATGCTGGGATTCATATTTCGTCGAGGAAGCGATTTCAAGAATATACACACTTACAATATTTTATATAACTCTTATGTTGGATCTCATTTGGAATATGCTTCCACTGTTTGGAATCCGCAATATTCTAAGTATATTTTGGCAATAGAAAGCGTCCAAAACAAGTTTCTTAAAACAATGACATACAAATTTATATAACAATAGAAATTAGGTCAGGATATGTGATGTGGAAAAAATAAATAATGTATACAAAATCACAAATTACTTTTATTTATACAATTCTTGATTACAATATATCTTAATTTAACTAAACCAAACAATGCTTCGACTCATAACTCGGTTGTGCGACAATAATTAAATTTTAAAGCTGCCTTTTAAGTACGGAATAGAACATGTTTAGTAAATTACATAGAAGTTATTGAAAAAAAAATCTTTTTTAGAAGAGTATGAACTATCCATTTAAAATAGACTCGTAGTATTAAGTGAAGTTACAAGTAACTCGTTAAAATATTACAAATGAAACAAATGTAGCTTACAAATGAAATATTCTACACATATACTATAAATAAACAGACATATCAGATCAATTATAAACTCTTAGACTATACATTCAGTCTCACCTATATTTATATATAATTAATATTATTGCATACTATTTAAGTTTTATAAATGCAAAAATATAAATTTTATATCTTTATTAGTGCTTAATAATGATTATATTTAGAATACTTACCATTCAGTTAAGTTCACGATACAATTCAATCCCTTGGTAATAACTCACGAGCTAACAAAATGATTCAACTATATCCTTACTATAAGTTTCCAGTCACACTACATACGCGACGTTCAAAGTTTTTTATACATAAATCATCGCGCAGTGCTTAGTAGGTTAGTGGGATGTGAAAACTTAGAATAAGTCTACAGATTCGTACGAGAATAAGTAAGTCTATGGAAATGGCGCCTTCATTCATAATTAAAAATCAATCATATATCACGAGTATATAAGTTACACAGATTTCACATATAAAACTAATGATATATTGATATATAATACACATATAAAACAATGTATTAAATCACTCGTAATATTACGTGAACGCACACAGCCTTAAACAATTCTGTCCATGTCGTAGTTCAAGCGATTGTTCCGTGTTATCGTACATTTCCCGTCCATTCGAACTGTCACATGGGCGTTTGCCCTTCAAGCGAGTCTCATATATTGTTCATATCGTACAACACCTGGGAGATAGTTCGTGACGCCTCCACATTGCTGAGGGCTATTGACGCCAAATGTGCTTCATATGAACGTAGTAATCTGAAATTATTAACATACAAATTACCAACATATTAAATGAAAATATTCCAATCAAATATATTGATATAGTGATATCGGAATTTAAGTAGGAATTCTCAATAAAACTTTGGTACTGACATACATATATAAAAAATATATTTTTTTTTAATATATTGATATCAATAAATCTAAGTCATAATTAAATAAATCATAAAAACAATATTTTGCTGATATAAAATACTTATTTTAATTATATTAAAACTATTTACAGGTAATATTTTTACCTTCTACCAGTGTTTGAGTAAATAACTATGTTTCTTAGAATAAGTGCTGCTGTTAGTCGAATGCTTTTCGTAACTGGGCCTTCGTTTTCATCCTGTACATAAAACAATATTTCTTATAGGATATTACTATATTAAAAAGAAAGTAAAACATATACATAGCGATATTAAACTTCAACAGAGTATGGTATGCGGGTAGATTTCCATTTACTCCCTTATACAGCATGTTCAAAAAACTAAACCGTGATTTAAACTACCATACTCTGCGGAATTGAGACAAAAAATACAAAAGCAAGCAAAAATAAAACCTGTACATGACATATTATTCACAAAAAAAAAAACGCAGGTTAACAAAAAACACACAAACTCTTTAGTAGACCAAATTAATAAAAACAAAGCTGCAAAACAAATTGACACAATAGCTATGTGCTTAGCGAAAGGCGTAACGGGAATCACGAAAAAATTACCAATAAACATCTAACTATGTAATTAAAAATTTATTTGTATATGCATATTCATTCATACGAAAAAGTAACAAACTGTATAATCTACTGCTAACGTTATTACTTTATTCACCAAAACACTATTACTTTTATGGCATTTAATACATAAATCATGGCGTGTTTCCATCACCGACGATTCACAGGAAAAACACTTTAAACTAACAGTGTTTAGGTGAAGATGTAGCTCATGCTAAATCGTATTAAGACGAAATGAAAATAGTTATAAGTAATTAAAATAACGTTCTGCGTTTAACAAAAAAAAATGAAACTTTTCTCAATATATGACACAATAATACTATTCTATGAATAATGAATAAGCTTAGTCAGTATTCTTTCAACAAATAAACTCGCAAACTCAATACAGAGCGATTATTATCAATATAGGTTAATAATGGAAAAACTATAAACACTGTATAAAACGCTGAAAACCTATCATTAGGCTGGTGACACTGCTCTTAGGATTATAATATAAACGAGAAAACTTTTTCCTTCCAACTATTTCAAAACATTAAAAAATAACTGTATGAAGATAAAAAAATATATAACAAAAAAGAAAAATAAATAAATCATACTAAATTACACCTAATATTGTATAATAATAAGACATATTTTCGTGTAACCCGTTACAAAGCCACAAACTTGTCTCACCGAAGCGTCCGGCGTGCGGGTCACATCGGCCCGGTGCTAAACACACGGACAGATTAGTGCCATACAATATATAACACACTATGTGACTATCATCGTGTTATTACATAAGGTTAATGTGACACACTAAAATAAATTTCGTTTAACTATAACGTGATATTGTGATTTAAAAATTAAAGAACATTTTGAATTTAGAACAGATATACGATGATTTTTTTTTTCTTTTAAATAAACATCAACTCTCAATAACATTTGAATTTCATTGATCACAGTCGCTTCGTGTTAATATATAAATGAAAACAGATCATGTATCATACAAGTGCACATACAATATTGTACCTTATGTAGTATATAATAAGGCTCACCATAAGCTCTCTGGGATTGAACATGTCCGCCGCGTGTTTATTCAAGGCCGCCAAAGCTGCATTCGGCGGGTACCCAACTGACATAGGCTTACCAGACTCGGCCTCACTCGCAGTGTGACGTCGGGAATTGAATATTGCTTTGAGTGCCTGCAATTTTATTTCATATATATAAATATGGATTTTTTTTTTTCAAAAAATGATTTTATAAGCGTAAAAAATCTATATATTTTTGTCAATAGTGTAAAATTATTTAAATCAACACTGAACACGTTTTATATTGTTTGTAAATAATTCATACAAAAAAAAATGACTGTATCATATTTAACACGAAATCGTCGGAAGAGGATTCAGATATATATTATTACATACAACTACAAAATATTAATCATTACATAACACAGAATAATAGAACGTATATATGTGTCCGTCAACAAAGGATTTCGTTGAAAATAACTTAAATATTTAATTATGTAATTGGTGATACGAATTATTATTAAAACAACTAAAATTCTTTCCAATATACAGCTGAAAGCATTTAACAAGAAAAAATTACAAAAATATTTTTTTCTCCTCACAAAACTTAAAGTAATCTACTATGTATAAGAAAAAAATATGCTGTTGATTACATTAAAATGTCTTCATGGTCATGTGTATATACATAACTTTGTATATATACATATGTATGAGTCTGTACGTAGTACGTGTGTGTGTGTGTGTGTGCGTGTGCTTAGTAATGTGCGCATACATGTATGCATGTGTGCGTTGTCGTGTTTTGTGATGGTATATGTATGTTGGCCGTGTGGCATCGGCAGAGGAGAATAGTGCCACCCTCAAGTACCAGGTGTCGTAAGAGGCGACTGCGGTACTGGATGTTGGCCGTATTTTGCAGTTTTAAACTTGTAAGGCCATCATCAGAGAAGGAAAACTCGAAATAAACCCGGATTGGAATCTCCGTTAGGCACGAGCCAGTTCCTGCAACCAAACCAGTTCCACACGTAGTGACTCCTCACTCCTGTGGGCCCAGCTGGCGAGGTCGAGAGGGAAATGTAGGAAGGTGGGAAAACCTACATTTCCTAAATAGTATCCCAGGCTTCAGAGTGAACATCTGTGGAGAGGACACTCCGCCATCGCAGTCCATCAGCGGTGAAACTAACACGAAGAATGGCAGTTACCAGTTATAAGTCTGCGTTAATAGGCGTAAGCGTGGGCGCTAGGGGTCATTCTTGACAGTGGGAGGGCCCATCGTAGGTCCATTGACCAATTACCGCCCGCTTTAGCTGGGCAGCCCCCGGCCAATAAGGTATTGGTCCGTCTCAGCATTGACCTATTTCCAATGGGTGTAGGAAATACTAGGTTAAATCTAGACAGTCTATGCTGTAAATTATTCACCTGCACAAAAACAGAAGAAAGATAAAACCAATAAAAAACAAACATACTTCTCCATGCGCTTAGCAACATGGAATGTCCGAACAATGAGGACAGGCCTTCCGGATACCTGCGGAGGTACAGGCTGTGCACAAGATCTGCGCAAAACTTCTGTAATTGATGCTGAATTGGCGAGACTCAACATCTCAATTTCGGCCCTGCAAGAAACGAGGCTTCCAGACAACGGATTTATAAAAGAAAGTCATTATACTTTTTTCTGGGTAGGCAAGGATCAGCAAGAACACCGCGAGCATGGCGTGGGTTTTGCTGTGCGCAACGACTTACTCTCATCGATACAAACACCACAAGGAATATCAGAGCGCATAATGGTTCTTCGCCTCTTGAGTAACTGTGGCTTCGTTACCTTGATCTGTGCATATGCACCAACTTTAGGCACAACATCGGAAGTCAAAGACCGGTTTTTATGATCAACTCACACAAACCATTGGTGCGGTGCCTACTAGTGATCACCTTTACATCCTGGGTGACTTTAATGCCAGAGTCGGTCAAGATAACGTCGCTTGGCCAGATTGCCTTGGTAACCATGGTGTCGGTAAAATGAACGAGAATGGACAGCGTTTGCTGGAGTTTTGTTCAAATCACAAAATATGTGTTACCAACACATACTTTAAAGGCAAATTTATGCATAAAGTTTCATGGAAGCATCCACGTTCGGGTCACTGGCATCAACTGGATCTGATCCTAACGCGAAGGAATAACATTCGCTCTGTCCTTCATACACGTACATATCAGAGCGCTGACTGTGACACGGACCACTCTCTTGTAGTGACAAAAACAGCAATGGTTCGCAAAAGAATCTATTCGTCTAAACCTCCTGGAAACAAGAAAATTGATTTAAGTCAAATCAGGATTGGCAAAAAAGTTGAATCCTTTAAGGAGTTGGTATGCTCAAAGACCTTGTCTTGGGACCAGAACGCACCACTGCAGGAGGAATGGGATCGTGTCAAAGAAATTCTTACGGAGTCTGCAGGCAAAGCTTTCGGGTATCGAACAGCGAATACTGAGGACTGGTTTTCACAAAATATAGAGCACCTACAACCATTGCTCGACTCAAAACGACTTGCTGCCCTTAACCACCGCTTAGACCCATCTTCATCCACTCTTAAAGTACTTACAGAGGCCAAGTCAGTACTACAGCGCAGCTCACGCTTCTATGCGAACAGATACTGGCGTGATCTCTCTTCAGTTATTCAGCGGTGTGCAGACTCAGGTGATTTCAGCGGTGTTTACGGTGGAATTAAAAAAGCACTCGGCCCTATTCCTAAAAAGATTGCTCCACTAAAAGAACTTGATGGTACTGTCATCAGTGACAGTAATCGACAAATGCAAAGATGGGTCGAACACTACACTGGACTCTACTCGCAGCCAATCAGTATTGAGCCACAAATTAAAAATTTAATTCCAAAATTACCCACCTGGTATGAGCTAGACGATGACCCTACAGCAGAGCAGTTTCAAACCGCCATGAAACAACTAAAATGTGGCAAAAGTCCTGGACGAGATTACATCTACCCTGAGCTGCTTAAATTAGATTTTATTGCTCCGCTTATGCATACTCTCTTAATAAAGTGCTGGGCCGAGGGGACGGTACCTCAGGATATGCGTGACGCCAATATCATCACCCTTTACAAAGGGAAAGGTGACCGCGGTGATTGCAACTCATATCGCGGCATATCCCTTCTGAGCGTCGTTGGTAAACTAATAGGTCGAGTGATTCTTAGTAAACTACAATGTCTTGCCAATCGCGTTTATCCTGAGGCTCAATGTGGGTTCCGGGCCGGGCGATCAACCACCGATATGATTTTTACATTACGTCAGATCCAGGAGAAGTGCAGGGAGCAGCAGACGCCGCTCATCATAGCCTTTGTAGATTTGAATAAGGCCTTCGATACCGTGAGCAGAGAGGGACTGTTTGAGTTGCTCGAGATAGTTGGGTGTCCTCCAAAGCTGCTCAAACTCATTAGATCATTCCACGAAGAAACGAAAGGATCTGCCGTTTTTGACGGAAAAATGTCGGAACCATTTGATATGCGCAGAGGCGTGCGACAGGGTTGCGTACTGGCACCTACTCTGTTCGGCATTTTCTTTTCGTTGCTTTTAAAAGTAGCCTTTGGTGACAAACAGCAGGGTGTGCATCTGCACACACGGATTGACGGGAAACTCTTCAATATTGCTCTCTTAAAGTCAAAGCGCAATCGGGTAGATCTGTTCGCGGATAGTCTTCTTTTTGCTGATGATGCCGCCTTTATTGCCACGTCTTCTTATGAACTTCAAACCATGATGGATAAATTCTCTCATGCGTGCAATCTATTTTCAATGTCCATCAATGCTAAGAAGACTCTAATATTCGCCCAAGGATTTGCTGAAAAACCAGTCATACTGCTGCACGGTGTTCCCTTGGACGTAGTAAGTAAGTTTTGCTACCTCGGTTCGACCGTAACGAGCAATCTGTCGCTAAGTGCGGAGATCGATATACGCATCGGTAAAGCGGCGACCATGTTCGGGAAGCTTAGAACAAGAGTATGGGACAACAACCACCTTACTGTCCGAACTAAAATACTTGTTTACCAAGCGTGTATCTTGAGCATACTCTTGTACGGACCAGAGACCTGGACATCGTATGCAAAACAAGAGTACAGGCTTAACGCTTTTCACATGCGTTGTGTGCGCAATATCTTGGGAGTTACGTGGAAGGACAGGATCACAAATGAAGCAATCCTAGCGAAAGCACAACTGCCTAGTCTCAGCGCCCTCCTTAAACAACGTCGTTTGCGCTGGGTGGGACATGTGCACCGTATGGATGCTTCTAGACTACCTAGAAAGGTCTTTCTGGGTGCTGTAGCGAATGCCAAGAGACATGTAGGACGTCCGTTGCTACGCTTTAAAGATTGTGTGAATCGAGATCTCACTTCCTTTGGTATCAAGAATAGGGAATGGGAGAAACTCGCGGAAGACAGGGATCGATGGAAGCTTCGGATTGCACAAGGGGTCAAGCTACACGACACAGCGTGGTTCGAAAAACTCACCACCAAAAGAGCCAAACAGCAGGACAGCAATAACATGCCAGCAGGCGCATCCGTTGCGTTATGCGCCTGTTCCAGATGCGGCCGATCTTGCCGTTCCAGAATCGGTCTGCATAGCCACCAACGAAAGTGTCTATTATAATCACACACTCTCATAAATCAAATCATCTGTAATAGATGAAAAGGCCAATGATGATATGTATGTATGTATATATACTCACATTAGGAGTGCAATGTTTGTCAGTAAGATGGTTTAATAAGGCGAATGTCTTCCGTGGGACTCGGTCACAGTCTAGCCACATACAGGGAGCTTCACCGCCGGCGGTACTGGGGCAGTGGGTCCTAGCCACGTGAGTGAACACCTCGGATGAACTGGAGAACGTTCTGGAAATTATTATTGATATATTAATGATTGTTATGAAGATTGGAGAAAGTTCTAGAACGTTCAATACAAATCTGACGGTGAAGAAGGTTCTATAACAAGGTAATTGTATTGAAAATATTTCCGATGTTTATTATATATCAAATATAAACTGAGAATTTTCTAGAAAAAGCCAATATACCAAAATATTTGATATTTCTGTATGGTGAAAATTTATTAATTTAAGAACGTTCGAGAAATATGATAAGGATTATACATCAACTGATAAGATTAAGATACACTTAAGATTTTTTGTAACGGACTATTCATTCATTTATATTATATGAATTGAATAGGTTCTAAGATAATAGTTGACAAAGTTTGAAAAAGTTTGACAAAATTCCATACTAGTTACAATGGTTTCATTATACTAGAGCCTGTCTTTGCAAAAACTTTGAAATCTAAGTGAAGTCAAATTTGAAAATCACATACATAATTATATTTAATTAACTCACAGTACGGCATTATTCTTGACGAACAGTAAAAGAGACAAAAAAAATAACCAGCCTCAGAAAACAATCATTTTAAATAAAATTCACATACCACCTTATCATTATTCTATAGATATAGATATTACGTGTTGTTTGTATAATATATATTTCTATGTCTTACTTCCCACATCCCCTCCAGTGACAGATCCAGGGCGTGTCTTCAGACCCTGTCGTAGTCGGCGGCTGTGTCTGAAGTGTTTGTGGCGGAGGAGTTTCTATCTTCTTTGGTTGTTGAGTCTTATATGAAAAGTAACGTATTAGTAAAAATCCTATGCATATTATAATAAGTAAATCTTGTACAGAAGTATGTTTTGATACGCTTTCAGGGAAAAATATTGAATAGGTTTTAATTATTCTTTACTATAATGTAATCTGTCTTGACTAAAATAATATACCATCTCTTTCTATCTTTACTAAATCATATCTCCCTCTCAACTTTCATTGGCCACGTCAAGCACCCTTAAACAAACGTACATAAAAAAGTTTTCCTTTAATAATATCTTACCTCAGTCACAGGTTGTGTGACCACCATTTCTTTGTCACCGATTTTAGTATTGCCGACCATAACTGGTTGCCGAGTTATAACCTGTCGCATAACCGATTGAGGTTTCTGAAACATAGTATAATATAAACAAAAAACTTTAAGTATAACAACAAGATATAATTAAACTCACCGCTGAACTCTGGATAGTCTTTGTATCAGTTGTGACAACAGCCTGGTTACTGGTCACAACTGTTGTAACCTGGTTCCTTGATGCTTGGACCACTCTATGAGTCGGTTTCATTGGGGTATTAACTATTATTTGCTGGTTGTTTGAAACCGCTATTATTTGTTGGTTACCCTGCAGTAACTGCTGATTCCCTTGAATTATTTGTTGGTTGCTACCAACTATGGTACTAACGATCTGGTTGCCAGATGACGTATTTATCATACCAGGTGGTTGTTTTTGGGTCACGACGATTTGTTGAGGGTTAACAATTTGTGCTTTGTGAGGTTGTGGTTGCGATGTTATTATAGGTTGCTGGCTCGGCGTCAGTTGAGGTGGATTCTATATATGAAGAAAAAATACATTAATTTCATTCGTTTGCAAAGAAGATCGAGATATAAATACACCCAAAACCCAATAACGAAATAAATGGTGCATTTACATATACATGCTAAATCATGAATCGTATGTACAAAATAAAATCTTCATTATTTTTACTGCTATTAATAAAAAAAAGTATGGTACAAAAAAAACAATATTTTTTTCTACTGAGTCAAAAAATTATCTATATGTCTTTTAATATAATTATAATACGACCACCATAATCCCACCCCCCTCCCAATATCTACAAAGCCATGCAACCATGAACCTGTGTGATGGAAGTTTTCAGCATTATGGGCTGTGACGAGCTCACTAGCGCTGACTGACTGACTATCACCCTTTGTGATTGTATCACTCCTGAGTTCTGTATCACATCATCATTATCATCAGATATTTTATAACCACATCACATGTTAATGAAACAAAATATTATACATATATTTAATCAAATTGCAAAATGTAAAGTGATTTAAAGCTTTATATTGGGACAAAGTGGTAGCTATAGACAAAGCAGCATATTAGTGGAGCTGAAATAAAATTATTAGATCGAAAAGGTAAGATGTTCTATTAATGCAAAATATAAGTTCACACGTTGCACTAAAATGCAAAATACCATATATTTTACTTGCATATATTTCGTACAAAAAAAATAAAAAGTAGTTTAATATGTACAAAAGAAAGAAGGGACATTAATATAACTTGGCAGATGAAATCTATTTATACACATACATATTTAAAATGTTGATGGTCTTTTTTAAATCATATTTTTACATAATGTTTAAACCCTCATTTTCTGGTTGATTAAACAACCTTACATAAAATTTGGTAAATATTTTTCATTTTATTGCTAACAACAGAAACTGGAAAAAAAAGACTTCTACTTGAAAAATTTACAAAATGAAAAAAAAAATAGTTAAAAGTTTGATAAATTATGTGACAAAAAAAAGCGGACAAGTAAATCAAATTACTTCTAGAAAATAAAATTAGGACAGTAAATTATTTTTCAAAGCAGAAGAAAGTTTCTCGAGAACATTTAATAGCAAAAATTAATAACCTAGTTTAAAAAAATTACTAACCTAATAATTTTGGCAAGAGAAAGAGAGAGAAAAAATAATTTTAATGGGTTAAAAACTTCAAACAATATGTAACTATGATAAATGAAAACATACATTCAGATTAATAAATATCCCAAAAATAAAGAAGAATAAAAGGAATAGTAGATATAACTGATGTTAGTGCGGCATCTAGGAAGTAAGTTTTAGGAGTAATTTTATAGCTTTGTAATTAAGTCACGAGAGTAGCGATAAATGAAGATGATAACAATACAAATGAGACAAATAAATGTCAACAAAAATGTATATGAAAAAAGAGTAGCAAAACAGAATAAATGTTATTAAGGTTAGTGCAGCAATTATGTGAGTAACCTGAATAAACTTGTGTGAATGGTTTTTCGTTTAAGGATACCATGGCAAGAAGGCAATATAATTGCAAAAAATATTTAATACATAACAAAGAAATGTCCTAATAAAGAACAAATAGCAAATAAAAATTGTTAATATTGCTTTAGGTTAGAGGCAGTACCAAATAAACAAGCGAGTCTTAGCTCAAGCTATTGGACGAGGTATTTTGTGATTTTGAAAGAAAATAACAGAAATTAACGATAAATAATAGTGAGTATACTAGAAATGATAGTAAGAAATGGCCATAAACAGAAATAGCAAATAGCAAAATTGAACAAATGTTATTGAGGTTAGTGCGGCAGTCATCGAGTGAGTAACCTGAATAATTTGCTGCTGCGTTATCGCCTCAGTCGCGAGCGAGTCATGAGCGAGTTTAGCGTGGCCTCGTCCAAACCAGATGGATTGTTAACCTTTTTATGTAATTTAAATACATTTCATATATTTAAAATACTACTACTAAACACTTTTAAAATATCAAAATCTTATTCATCAAAATACATATTCTTTTTTCAAAGTGGTTACCATTGTACAAAATCTGCATACAATAAGGTTATTTCATATAGGTTTTGAACTTTATAAGATATTTATATTAAAATTTCGTTACATACCGTTAGTGTGAGTGGACCACCTCCAGTACCCTGAACTATTATGATAGTTTTCTGCATCATATTACCGGGTATATTTTGTGCTATGTAGCTCAAACCACCTAGAATAAAAGGAAAATATTAATTTAAAATTAAAAACTAAGTATATTTTACATTCTTACCTATTTACATATCTATAATACATACATACCTATTATATCTATAATATATAAAACTTACCTTGTGATGTACTTGGTGCCGCTATAAGTTGCATGGGCTGTTGAACAAATTGCGCCTGTTGAGTACCGACCGGTTTTTCTATAGAATAAAAATAAAAGAATATCATTATCCAAATATACAGGATCAAAATAAATAACTGTATAATAGTGATATTATAGAATTATTTTATTGCATACCCTGTAATATAATCTGTCCAGCCTGAGACATAATATTCTGTACATCCATTGGTTGAACTTACAGCATCGGCTGTTGAACTTGTAAGGGCTGCTGTACCTATAATAATAAAACATAATGTAATCATTCCAATAGAGATCTTTAAAAAAATGTTTATAAAATGTAATAATTTATACATTTTCATTACAATAATTTGTGCAAATATATAAATACTAGAAGACCCGGCGAACTTCGTATCGCCATATAATCAAGAAATATCTGTTACGTTTTTTTATTTATATTTTTGGAGTTTACCTATTAAAGCCATAAATCTCCGTGTTTTGAAGTGGGACAGAATGATTGACATATTAGTTAGTTGTCAAATATAATGTAAAAAAAAAACGTTTGTATCAACAACCACTAATAAATTAAAAATTAATTAAAAACATTGTCCAGCATACAAAATTGTGAATCTAAACCATTCCCAGATCCCCTTGAATACACACATAAATTTCATCAAAATCGTTCCAGTCGTTTGAAAGAAGTTCAGTGACATACACACTCACAGAAGAATTATATATATAAAGATATGACGCACCTGTACTTGTAACGCCGGTTGCTGCATCTGTATCGCGTTTTGCTGCACTTGTAACGTCGGTTGCTGCACTTGTAACGTTGGTTGCTGAACTTGTAGCGTTGGTTGCTGCACTTGTAATGTTGGTTGCTGCACCTTACAACATACACAGTATTGTAATACTTGTCACAGTAAGCAATTTACTTTCTAGCTTTAAAGTATTTTATGTTATTCACAAGTTTTGAATCACTTAGTTAAGTACTTGAACTGTTTGAGAACTATCACACCACGGACGTACATATACGCACGCAATGACACATACATCGCCGTATATTTTATATCACGCTTCTCTTTGCATCGAGGGTTAAAATGAAGAACAAGTCTAAGTATAAACACAGAATTCTATAAACAAGACATAAAGAAACCAAGGAACAATTAGTAAAATGAGATCAGGTTCAGTTGGTACAAAGATTTATAATACTTATACTCATATATTACTTAACTTTTCACCGAGCCCAAAACACTATAATATAGTAAAAAAAAAAATCCGATGCAGTTACTGTGATATTTTTTCTATTTAGTTTTTTAAATAATACGGCCATTTTTATAAGCGCTATAAACATTTGTAAAAAGTCTTAAATCTATTTTTTTTTCATATTTGTTATAATGTTATATTGTTTAAACATACCTGTAATATAGGTTCTTGAATCAAAACTGATTGATTCTCCGGAGTGCTGACTAATACTGATGGCTGGATCACATCCACGGTTTCTTGTTTCGGGGGAAGCTATGACAGAAATGGAGTTACAATAACATGTACATATAGGGAAACAATATATAAGCTATCGGTCGCATTAATTCGACCCTACCACAGATAATACACAAGTTAGGCTAAAAAATAAGCAAGAAACAAAAAATAATGATTAACCAATACTAAAAGGATCCACACTACTGGATTTAAAACAGAAATTAAAATTTCCAATTCCACTTGTGTGAATGAACATTTAACTAACAATAATCATCTAAATAGAAAACAAAATGTACATTATATATTATTATATCATAAACCTTAGCTATCAAGGTTCCGGAGAATATAATCCCTCTCGTCCGCTTAAGTAAATACATGAAAGCAAATTCAAAAAAATTACTTTATTAAAATAATTTTGCTGCCTCTTGGAATGATGTGACATAGCTACTGGAATGTTGCTTGATAGAGTTTGATGATACAGAAAAATAAATTTGGAAAAAAATAATGAAAATCAGTCTGAAAATACAATTACTTATACCAATTTAGCGCATATTTTCAAATCTTTTTAGCTTATTTAATAGTTTACAGATGCCCAGTGAAAGCAATTTTCCAAATTCTAGATTTATCAATTGTAAATTAACAAGTCTTTTTTAACTTATACCTAAATTTAAATAACATTATAATATTAACCGTTATTGTATTTCTACATATATTTGTGTACAATATGCCAAATAAAATTATAATTCACGAAGATTTAAAAAATATTTAATAATTATTACCTGTACAACTATCATTAAAATTATCATTAAGCAAAATGTTATTAATTTCAAACAATTAAAGCACTTCTCTCATTCTATTAATTTGGTCCATCTCTATATATTAGGCAATATTTGGTATATATACTAAGTTTTAATGTATTATTGTATTTTTTTCATATCAAGCATCATCCCAGCAGCATCATAAATACTCCGACTCACCAGATCATCTTCATCTTGAAGACTGGCAGCTAAGGCCGCGTACAGATTGGCTGCAGTCTTTGAAACACTTTCCGGGGGATTCTACACTCATGTTATGTATATCAAAATTATTAATAACTTTAAACAGATATAGACAACATAAATATATATGAAAAATAAAATTTGTATGAATAAATAAAAAAATATATAAAAAAAACGTCTGTCCCATAAATGAAATCACATGACTACCTTCGTTCAAATTCTTCTAAACTAATAAAATGATTTTCATAATTTATATAATTGTACAATATCGAAACAAAATAACAGACAATATACTTAATTGGTAGAAACTTTGTACTGGAAAGTGAAAATTATTTTAAGAACATACATACATAGATGATATTAGCACATCTTTATAATGTTTTATCTATATCTATATTTCTCTCACCTCATTCTTGTCTTCGACTTTAATTTTCTTACTCGGTGGTTCGGTATACGAGTGATCAGTTACAACACTTTCAGCTATATCCTTTTCATTCTTCTGTATAACGCCAGTCTGTAATAACTGTGCTAGATTGTCATTTTTAATCTGTACTATCTGACCTTGGTCGTTCTTAATTTGAATCATGCCCTGTAATTGGCCGCTTTTGAGTTGTATAATCTGTCCTTGATCGTTTTTGATCTGTATCAGTTGTCCTTGCTCGTTCTTAATTTGAAAAAATGGCGCACTCGGTTGTACGGAATCCGATATTTGTATCATATTTTCCGATTTAACTTGAACTATTTGTCCCGTTTCCGTTATTTGTATAGTAGGTGCGTTTATTTGTTGTCCCATTTGTACAACTTGCACTGGTGGGTTTGATTTTTTCTCAAGAAGATCAGCCAGCATCTTGTTCTGTGCTGTTTTCTACATTAGAAGTATTATGTTAATAGAAGTAATATTACAAAGATAATAATAATTTAAATCACAGTATAATAGATACTCACTATAGTCAATTGTGCCTGCTCGTCTATTTGAATTTGAACTGGTTCCTCTTTTGTTACTGAAAGTAAACATTCAATTCATTTATAACTAACTCATTTCTACGACTTTCTTGGCGCTGATTAACCAATCAATAAAGTTTTCGTTTGTTATAGGAAACAAATCACTTATCAATATTAGGATTATGGCTACTTCTTAAAACTTTAATAACTTTATTTTTTCTGAGGATATTGCGATTGCTTAAGATAACGGATACATTTCTTAATGTATATATGTATATAATATATTGTTTTATAAAACATACCCATAACTTCGTCAGGCGCGTTCACTACAATCTGTAAATATATATTTGTTAATAAAAAAACCTCATCTATTTACAAATGTATAATTGACGAGTGACGCCGTTGACTCCGCGGAACGAACACTAAGCCGTGTAAGCCAAAAGATTTCTGATACCACACAAGCTATGGAATGGCATTACTATCCTAACATCGACAATCATGTAGTCTTAGGAATAGGTTATTACTTTATTAGTTTTAATTTGTAATTCTCATTATAATATACATGTAAGTAAGTTTCGTAACTTTCCTGGAACCTCTGGTTGCGATTCTACATATTTAGTGTATGTATGTCTGTGTGTATGTCATATGTATGTTATTTATAACCTTCTCCTGTACAGCTGTGCTGGTGACAGTCCCAGGTATTATCGTCGTACATTTGATGAGAGTTTCCGGATCTACCTCCATATTCTGCAGCGACGTCTGTAATTAAAACTTAATATATATTTATATATAACATTTATATAATACAATGTATAAGATGACATTTATATAAAATCGTCTATCACCAGTTAATTCCGAATTTAATTCTTCATTAATAGATAATCATAAGTTTGTCTCTCTAACATAGGAAAAACCTATATCAATTATCCACATATATAAAAAAAAATCATACGTTTTCATTTACTTTTCTCTCAACAATAATAAAATAAACAACTGTGAGGTAGTCATAAAATTCGCTAGTCTTTGAAACTTCTAATATCTATCTTCTACTATTCGAATAGTTACGTGCTATTTAACAGTATCATGTTTAACTTAAAATAGTTGAAAAAGAGACCTACCAAAAATAACTTAGTTAAAAAAAAATATTAACTATTTAAAAATTATATATATTACTAGTTTTTGCCCGCGACTTCGTCCGCGTTAGTTTCGTCATTAGTAATATATGTATAGCTGACCAGGCGAACTCTATTCCGTCTTAGAGGCCATAAATAATCAGGTTTTTCCTGTTTCAATCAAACAGAATGATTGACATATTAGTTAGTTGTCAAATCTAATGTCAAAAAAAGCGTTTGTATGGGAAATAGAAAAGGGCTGTTTTTAGGGTTTTCCCGGCAATTATTCCAATTTTTCTCACCTTTTATACCTTCCCTGAACCTCCACGAACATTTCAAGACTAAGATAAGACAAATCCGTTAAGCTGTTCTCGAGTTTTAGCGAGACTAAGGAACAGCAATCCATTTTTATATATATAGAAGAAGAAGATATATAATTACCGCTGTTGATATTTGTACGACGACTGTTCCTGATGTCGGTACACGTTGTTGACTTTGTTGTCTCTGAGCGACCTATCACATACACATACAAAATATTACATAATAAATATAACATATATATCGGATTTATTACAGATTCGTTGTTTTAAAAGAGAGGGACGCCAGCCTCGCTGTCGTTACAAATGTCACTTCTTCTAGAGCATTCGATGATATTTTAAAATGAAACTGCAATTGATCTTAATGCTCTTGTATTTCTCAAAGATTCTTCATAATAAGCTACTTCTATGATACACGCTCACTGAACTCTGAATTATCAATGCTGAATTCTCAATACTGGAGTCCGCCGTCGTGAGTCCAGACGTCATATTTTTGATTTAAACATAATTCTATTCTCTTTTGATTTCGATTTACTTTTAACAATAATCATAAATACTAATGAGGTTTAATAAGAATTGATGGCAGCCTCTAATTATTTTCAAGTCGCATCCGTTATTAAAGCTGATAGCGCCGATACGGCCATTCTGACAGGCGGTGCGTGCTCTGCACCTGCCTGGTTATGTGTTCTTTCTTGGTTGGTTTTCGTTATGTGCTTGGACCAGTCGCGCGTCTCGTAAAGTAGATGGGACAGGATCAAGAATTGATGCTTCATCTTCCGAAGTCATGCCGATACGGTCATACTGATGTTTGCTCTGTGATAAAAGATAAATGCTTTTGTAGTCTAGGTACTTCCACAGTACACCTAGATAACTTTATATTGTTACAATTATGAATATGAAAAAAATTTTTTTTTTTTTAATCGTATGGGTAACGTTGTTTACTACAACACAACTTTGAGATGGTCATAATATCACGTCCAATTATCTAAGCTACATGGCTTTGGGGGCATCACACGAACATTCATAACATATTTGTCATAGGACGTCTCCGCCCGCCTACAACATTTTTTTTTATTTATTTGTCATAGGACGTCTCCGCCCGCCTACAACATTTTGTTTTTATTTATTTGTCGTAAGACGTCTCCACCCGTCTACAACAATTTTATTTTATTAACCATTTTATTATTATTATTATTTTGTTATGGTTCGGATCCGCCATCAAAGGCATCTTTTATAGTAATAATAATAATTTAATAATTTTATAGTAATATATCTCAAAGTAAGTGTTTCAAAATCACACTTCTATCTACGAAATATGTAATGCGTTTGAAATGAAGTAAATTGAACAAAATGAAATACGCTCACCGGATAACTATTAGGTAGTCGAACAGTCTACCTTGCTGCTCGTTTACTTATACTCTCTCGTCACTCCAGTGGAACTTCGTCTGGCTGGTCACGAATCACATTTCAAAGTGTTCCTCGGTTTCTATTACTTTTTCTGTGATATTTTTTTTTTTATATTAAATCTCCATTCTGAAATTATTTAAATTTTAACTCGAAATCTCTAAAATCCAACTTTTTATCTTCTCTCCGCCTCGACCATCCTGTTTTAAATGTGTTGCTTCGATATCCACGGACGGATTGTCAAAATGTAATCTAAACTGTTAAAGCCGGATTGAATTCGTATGTTCATAACATCGGCAAGGATACTAAATTTGTCAGATGTACGCTAAAGCCTGTAATCACAAAACTCTTTATATTAATAATAGAGCCCGGCCTCAATCCTCGCAAATAGTTGACTGATTTGTTTTCTATTCCCGGAGATGTTATTTGCCATTGATTCTTGTATAACGCACCCCTGAAATCATGCATTTTATTAAGATTAAATTTACCAGTTGATATTAAATTTAAATTCGGCGTGATATCCTTTTCCCATCGACAACATGATTCAAACGTTTGACCACGGTTAGTAGAAATGGAATAAAACTTAGTTGTACTCGCAATAGGTGTATTTGATTAGAAATTTGGAGTCAATTATGCTATCATTTGAATTATAACATCGTTTTTTAGTGGCACTGCTGTGTGTGTTGACCGACATATTGTTCATATTACTGTGAAGGGTGTGTCTACAGTCGATTCTAAATAAAGCCGTGGCGCCGGCTGTTTGATATCAAAATCATGTAACTTCTTATAGATTGAGTGACTTCATATTTACTCATAGTTTCCCAAGGCCGCTCTTCGTCATCTCATGGTATTCTCAAGGATACAGCAAGGATCTGTGGTTAGCTCAAGGGTAATACGTGAGTAGCTCAGAGGTACGCTCTCCACATCTGTGGCGTAGACTTGTCTTCTCACGGTTCCACAAGGCATCCCTACGTAATCTCATGGTTCTCTTTCGGATACATCAAGGACCCGTGGTTAGCTTAAGGGTAACTCGTGATTAGCTCAGAGGTCACGCTCTCCAGATCTATGGTGTAATACTTGTCTCCTCACGGCTCCACAAGGCTTCCCTACAGAATCTCATGGTACAGATTCTCTTGAGAATACACCATGGACACGAGATCAGCTCACGGAAATTCCCTACACACTAAAGGCAACATAGAGCTCTCATTATTTCCGAAAAAGAAGAGCGCGTCTTATCTCGTAAGTTTTAAAGATATCACTATTAAAATAGTTTGCCTCTAGTTTCGTGATAATAAAATTAATTTCGTTATCTATTTCTTGTTTAGCCTTCAACCAATGGTCTGTTGTCGCGGCGAAATGAAAGCATTTTTGATTCGAAATAAGTGGCAAAGGATATCTATCAGACACCGTATTCTTATTTAATTCTCTCTATGACATTATTCAAATGATTTTTCAGTTCCAATCTTGTTTGTTTTAAGAATGAGACATTATTTTTAATCCCTATAGAATACCCTAATGTAAGCAGATCCTGTCTAATCATAACGTCGTTGAAAATACATGAATTCACAACATGGAAAACTCACTTTACTGAATCACTCTTAAATTGTTTAAAGAATTTAGATATAACATTTAATGCGAGCGTTACTTACACTTTCTAATGCAATTGTATTATTATATTGCGCTTTACTTAGAAATCTATCTTTCAAGAATTTTTTTTTTTATTTCATTAAGGAACATTCGGTACCCGAGTCGAAGCAACATGAAAACCTCTCACCGGTTTCACTCCAGAGCTGAACCATATCTGGACGGAACAGATATTCACGCATCGTTCGGTCCATGCTTAATTGGCTTTGAATTCAACACTGCGGCAGCGCAGCGCGAAGTAGCCTCGTTAACCATACCTGAAGCAACTAGGAGTAATCATTTCCTTCGGCGCGCCAGGTTCTTTTAATTGTTGAGAGGAGCTGGTATCTGAAAACTCAGGATGTGTATTAGTATTTGGTCAAGCCCGCTATGGCCTCAACCTTCAGTTAGAACGTGCCCGTCTTGCCTCAGTTATAGCGCCACATCGTCGCATAATATCTCCGCTTAATATCCATACTACGTGGCTTCTTACGTAAATGTTGTAACCAATCGTATTCACATATTTGAGCTCACTCCTTTTAAAGATTTCATTTTCATTTGAGAATCATGGTTCCTGATTTACTACGTATTTATAGCCATATAGATGTGTTGACACCATTCCCGAAGACACACACTACCACCGGGGTCAAACGATGATAAAAATGATCTTCTTAGTAATTTTAATATTATCCCTTGATTTATTTGTAGTAAACGTTTGCACACGCTCTGCATTATTGACATCAATGAATGGCATGAAAAAAATTTCTTTTAGCGTTCTTCAGTACGCAAGTTCTCCACATGGTTATTTTCTTCAGCTGGATAGGATTTATAAGACCGGCATGATCACGAGAGCGATCCCACTTCTGATATCGGATTTATTACAGATTCGTTGTTTTAAAAGAGAGGGACGCCAGCCTCGCTGTCGTTACAAATGTCACTTCTTCTAGAGCATTCGATGATATTTTAAAATGAAACTGCAATTGATCTTAATGCTCTTGTATTTCTCAAAGATTCTTCATAATAAGCTACTTCTATGATACACGCTCACTGAACTCTGAATTATCAATGCTGAATTCTCAATACTGGAGTCCGCCGTCGTGAGTCCAGACGTCATATTTTTGATTTAAACATAATTCTATTCTCTTTTGATTTCGATTTACTTTTAACAATAATCATAAATACTAATGAGGTTTAATAAGAATTGATGGCAGCCTCTAATTATTTTCAAGTCGCATCCGTTATTAAAGCTGATAGCGCCGATATATATATTACCAAAAAATAATTCATTGAATCAACTCTCCATGCGTTCAAAGCATATTTCAGTTCATGCCTAATATTATTACTGTAATATTCCAACTGTTAGTCATTATTCCATGCCACTACGTCACTATGTTTGCATTCATGCAATCTATTAAAAACTCAAAGTTTTACCATTTCGATAACAGCCATTGTAATGGCAGTGAGTTCTCTAGAATCATACTCAAATGACATTTTCCTTTAAAAAAAGATCGCCTAGATCCAGATTAAGAACAAAATCTGTGTTTAAATAAACGTTTGATAGTAATAAAGTTAGTATTGTTAGTAAACTTACATGTGTATGAGCCGCGCTTACTTTATGCGCTAACAAGTGTTTTATGAGGGACGTGTTGCTGTTGTCTGTGGACTGCGTTGGAGTCTGTTGAAACAAACATCAATATTATATACAGGGTGCATTATACTTGTTTTGAGTGAGTAAATTAAATATTATGAGGACTGGCAAAGAAATTTAAATTATATATATAATTTTATATAAAATCATTAAAAAAATTGATATGTACAATCATTAAAAAAATCGATACAATTCTCATTTTAGATATTATAATACGAGCTTCGAACAAAGTTTGTTATAATATAAATAGAGATAGAAATAAATGGCAAAAATATTCTATTTACCGACATTTTTTTAATAGTACATAAGATACTTGAGTATACGATAATACACAAGGTAAAATTTTTACGTTACCATAGATAATATATTTGAATCATTTTAATTATAATATACAGCTAAAGTTTGTGTTTCATGTTTGAAACATTTTAATATATTTAATTGTACCTGTAGTTGTGTAACGACCGGTTTTGTTTCAATAGTCGCGCTCGGCTTGTTGGTGAGTTGAGCTTTTAATATAGGTGAAGATGGACCTGTTACAGAAATAAAATACAACAATAACTTACATATGTACTATAAACATATTTTTCTTATAGTATGAAATATAGTATATTTTTTTATTTGTAAGCATTTTCGTATACTTCTAAAAAAAATTGCTTGATAAATATATTAAGTTATATATCATCGGGTAAAGAGTAAATCCGCGTAACTACCATTGGATAATTCCGCGTATCTACATTGGAAGCAGATTATCAAAAGAAAGTTTGAGCTATTATTTTTACACACTTAATAATTTTTCAGTGTTTAATTTATTACTAACTAGTTTTTGCCCGCGACTTCGTCCGCGTTAGTTTCGTCATTAGTAATATATGTATAGCTGACCAGGCGAACTCTAATCCGTCTTAGAGGCCATAAATAATCAGGTTTTTCCTGTTTCAATCAAACAGAATGATTGACATATTAGTTAGTTGTCAAATCTAATGTCAAAAAAAGAGTTTGTATGGGAAATAGAAAAGGGCTGTTTTTAGGGTTTTCCCGGCAATTATTCCAATTTTTCTCACCCTTTTATACCTTCCCTGAACCTCCACGAACATTTCAAGACTAAGATAAGACAAATCCGTTCAGCTGTTCTCGAGTTTTAGCGAGACTAAGGAACAGCAATCCATTTTTTATATATATAGAAGAAGAAGATAGAAGATTGTTAAGAAACTACCTTTAAAATCGTTAGTATAGAAAATATTGCAGCTCAAAATTTCTTCTGATAATTTACTTGCAATGTAGATAAGCGGATTTAACCGATGTTAGCAACGCGGATTTGCACTATCTTCGACGATATGTATGTACATACCAACAGGCGGATTACTTCTATTAGCTATATTCTTAGCTCGTATGCCGATGTAAACGTGTTGTGTTTCACCCGTTGAAGTGCTCACTGTATTTGGCCCAACCGTGCCACCGAAAACCGTCCTTTAATATAATAATAAATTACATCAAAAAATTACAATAACTATATTAAAGTAAATTAATATGTATAATATAAAAAAAATATTTGTATGCATATATATTTATATCTATCTCTTTAATTGTACCTACTCCACATTTTTTATCTCATTTCCTCTATGTAAAGGGTTTCCGATAGAGATCTCTTTTGAGACATTAGTTATCCATTGTACATCATATTTCTTTTACAATAATATAACTACTAGTTTTGGTACATAAATAAATTAAAATGATAGAACAGGCGTAGAATTATTTTAGCTATCGTATATCTGTAGCTGTACAACCTACCTCACAAGTCGTGGGAAGTGTGCGGGTGCGATGACTCCCTTGCGTGCTAGTTTAGTGCAGCACGCGAGGTACTGCCTGTACACGTCAGCAGCGTCACACGCACTATTATCCGAGGCGGGGAGAGCTTCATACGTAGCTCTGAGCCATGCTTGAGCGAAATGTTCGTTTTCCTATAAACATATAGTAAATGTACTCACATCCCTACTAATATTATAAATGCGAAAGTAACTCTGTCTGACTGTCTGTCTATTACGCTTTCACGCCTAAACCACTCAACTGATTTTAATGAAATTTGGTGCAGAGATAGAATTGACCTTGAAAAAGAACATAGGATAGTTTTTATCCCAGAATTTTGAAAGATTCTCTTGAAAACGCGATATAACCGAACTCCACGCGGGCGAAGCTGCGGGCGGAATCTAGTTATATCATAAATGTTTGGTAGACAATATTTCCTTAATGCATGTTTTTATTCGGAAATGTTCATACTTGTACGGTACGTTGTTGCATATGCGATTGTTGTAATGTAGTAGGCTGTGTATGGGTGGCGACAGCGGGGGACGCTACTGGGGGCTCCACGGGAGGCTTTGGGACTTGAACCTGTTGGGGAGGCTGTACAACAAATAGAAAATTATAATAATTATATATAACATTCAGTTATTAATGAGAAAGTGATACAAGAACAGGTATTTGCTTTTAAATTTTCACAAATAATAAAAGCGTACGATTTTATGCCCTGAATTAATTATAATGCCTTTTAAAAGAAAAGTTAAGTTTTACATACATAATGTAACTACCGATATTACTTCAAAATAAACACTTGAAAGTTTATGAAGACATACTAGCTGGGGTTTTAGTGCAAACGACAATTATTTTAAATTTAGAACACACTTAAAATATAAACAGATTATAAATTCTACACATTATTGTTTGTTATAAGACTTATGTTATAAGATATAACTAATGCCTTAAAATATGTATTAGGCGTCATTAAAATATTATATGGCACATTAAATTATACATATCTTCATATGACATATACGAATCCTTTGTATATAAATATAATAATATAAAGCCGTATATACACATACGTTAGTGTTCTGTAGTGTGTGTGGTTGCACGTGGTCCGCGGCGGGCGGCCCACTGACCGTCTCAACCACTCGCATGAGGATACACGCGCGGGGACCGTAGCTCTGCGCCTGTGTACAGCACGCTTTATAAAAACTCAGTACAATACAGGGTGACTGGTGAATTACTATCAATATTTAAGGAGAATACTCGGTACATGATTCTCATTCGAATTATGTAAAAAAAATAGGCACTTAATTTTTGACAAAATTTCCGTATAAATAAGTAAAGTGTTGACACGTTCCAAGTGTTCAAGTGTGGACGCGTGCGGCGGCGTGCTGATACAACACTACGTCACGACACGCGTATGTGTGAGTGTCAGTGTATACCTAATCTGTAGGGTGTTCACACGATGCGTAATTAATTACATAACTTTTGGTTAACTTTACTTAGAAGTTTATTAATATTTATGTTATATTAATTTTTATTTCGTCATATTTGATCGTCAAATATCACGTCCTCAAATATCGATAGTAATTCACCAGTCACCCTGTATACAGGCTGAAATATTCATAACTTTAAAGCCATTTTTTTTTGGCCATCTATGGCATGTCGCATTACAGCTAGCTGAATCAAAATAATTTATACAGGGTGACTGGTGAATTACTATCGATATTTGAGGACGTGATATTTGACGATCATATATGACTAAATAAAAATTAATATAACATAAATATTAATAAACTTCTAAGTAAAGTTAACCAAAAGTTGTGTAATTAATTACGCATCGTGTGAACACCCTACAGATTAGGTATACACACACACTCACACACACGCGGCGGGGGCGTGGTTTTGTATCAGCACGCCGCCGCACGCGTCCACACTTGGAACACTTGGAACGTGTCAACACTTTATTTATTTATACGGAAATTTGGTCAAAAATTAAGTACCTATTTTTTTTACATAATTCGAATGAGAATCATGTACCGAGTATGCTCCTTAAATATTGATAGTAATTCACCAGTCACCCTGTATATTATTCTATAAAAACTAAAGTAGTCGAAATTCCAAGTAAAACATTAGGTCATATCGAATTTTATATTTACGTCAGTTTTGAACCATTTAAATGGTTATTGCATACACACATACCTCAACAGTAACCAGCGACACTAGTGTGTGTAATAGTCCGGGTACACGCGCGACCGCTTCACACGCGCGGTCTCCCAGACCGGTGAGAGCGTATACACACTCTAGAGTACACACTAACACAATTATATCACGGAGAGTGAGGAGAGCACACACGTCGCTATAAACCTGATATAACACAGAAATTAACATATTAACTAGAAGACCCGGCGAACTTCGTATCGCCCTATAATCAAGAAATATCTGTTACGTTTTTTTTTAATAAATAAATTTAGGTTATACCTTAGCCTTAGAATTATTAATACGTGGTGGTTATGCTATTATTAAATAGTCGGTCATATATGACGTTTGTATTTTTAACATAGCGCCATCTATTGAATACTTAACTCAGTCAACAGATAATTGTAATAATGACAAATAATTTTCTTTAATTGACAAATAATTTCCAATAAAACAATATTGTGACTATAAATTGAGATGTAAGCTATCCTATCTTTCAAGTTGGATCAAAATGCACACGGAATGCAAATCAAATTTAAAATCGGTTTAGTAGTTTAGGAGTCCATAGCGGACAAACACGTGACACGAAATCTTTATATATATAAAGATTAATAAATAATTAATATCAAATTTGAAGGATTTCACTGTATACAATGTTTTGCAGACCACAAATGAGAATATATTTTTAAGCCAAAGTTCTAAGACGTTATGACAAAATCAAATAGTGATTTTTCCTTTTTAATAAAGATAGATATATTTAATATTTCTTGAAGTCAATGAATTGTAATACATATATACAACTTCATTCAAAGCATTCATTTCAAATAGTTGAACATTAGAAACTTAGAAGAATATATACAAAAACACATATATTACGTACTTTTGATTCCAATGCTTTGAGTAACGCTTCTTCGTTGACTTCGTTCTGTGCCAATTTATTCAAGAGCTCCAAAGCTGCCAACACTCTAGCACGATCTTGTGATACTAGCGCTGATTGTATAGTCGATAGAACATGACGAGATATCAAACATGTAGCGGGGTCCTACAATAATGGTCATTTAATATTTCTCTAGGTATATAAAAGACAAATAAATATTATATATTTTATTGGAATACATACTTTAATAATGAGCTCGGCAGCGACATTACCGAGCGTGTCTAAACCGCTTTGACGAAGAGTTCCCACCCAACAGTTAGCACATAGCAGTAAGAATCTGTAATAGGACATAGTTATATTTTACTTAATGGAGTGATGTACCCAAACGGTAAATATTGAACGATTCGAATATTTCATATATCTGTTACATCACTAGTATTAATAACGTAACCAACCTTATAAGAGTGGTATTCCTAGCCAAGTATTGCACATTCTCTTCATGAAAGGACAAGCTTCGTACAATGCTAGCTATCTGTAGTACTCGTTGTGTGTAAACACATGTGGCGCCACCTGGTAACGTCGGAGCGAACAACTGATCTTCCTCTGAAGGTTCCGTCACCCAATCCTCGGTGTCCTGATAACATAATATAATGATAATGATTGTAGTTATTGTTGAAATGAGGTACATTTTATTACCTTGTATTAGATAGTTGCAAGGTATTATTAATTGATCACTAAAGTTTTGTATACCTACACTTTTTGGTAAATTTCTGTTCAATTTAAAATTTTAATTGTTTATTGTTTTTCAACAGCCGTATATTCTTTCGACAACTTATGATGCCGCACTAAATTTATTATATATTTATGGCTGTCGCAAAAGTCGATTAAAAAGCATATGTTAATATCTCTTGAACAGTTTCCATAATACATAATAACTAATAAGTAATTAACTTCCTAAAAACTTTTCAATATAGTTTACGAATATCGATATTTTCGACTAATTAAGTTTCCTAGACTTACTAGATAGTCTTCTCAGTGAGTATGAGTGTAAGTCCCAAAAATATTTGAAATCTGTTTAGTAATTTCCAAGACTCCGCTTTAGTACTACATATAATGTATCTCAATACATATCTATATATCTTTTTATGTATCTCAATACATATCCATCAGTGTTAATAGCAATATACAGGGTGACTGGTGAATTACTATCGATATTTGAGGACGTGATATTTGACGATCATATATGACAAAATAAAAATTAATATAACATAAATATTAATAAACTTCTAAGTAAAGTTAACCAAAAGTTATGTAATTAATTACGCATCGTGTGAACACCCTACAGATTAGGTATACACTGACACTCACACATACGCATGTCGTGACGTGGTGTTGTATCAACACGTCGCCGCACGCGTCCACACTTGAACACTTGGAACGTGTCAACACTTTACTTATTTATACGGAAATTTTGTCAAAAATTAAGTGCCTATTTTTTTTACATAATTCGAATGAGAATCATGTACCGAGTATGCTCCTTAAATATTGATAGTAATTCACCAGTCACCCTGTATAATATGTATAAATAATAAATAAATGTTTCATACATCCTCAACAATCTTCTCCATATTATCATCTTCACTACCAGCCAGCATCAGACAGTGTGTTATGTGCAGCCAACGCCTGTACGACAAGTTCAGGTTGATCACCGGTGAACTTTGTCTCATCAGCAAGTTCCCTCGCCCCGCCGCCACCAGCTCGCTCCGACCAAAACTCGTGTGGATAACGACCTCGAGACTCGAAGTATGAACGACCGATTGTGTCGCGGAGGCTTGCTGGAATATATATTACATAATATAAAAATACGAGTTAAAATAAGGAATACTAAAGAACACCCTATATCCTACTAATATTATAATTGCGAAAGTTTGTGAGTGTGTATGTGTGTTACTTCTTCACACTCAGACGGTTGAACCGATTTTGATAAAAATTTGTATACAGGAAGATGACGTCCAAGAATAACACATAGGCTACTTTACATCCCGGAAATCCGCGGGTAACACCGCGGGGCGCAGCTAGTAATATACAGGGTGACTGGTGAATTACTATCAATATTTAAGGAGCATACTCGGTACATGATTCTCATTCGAATTATGTAAAAAAAATAGGTACTTAATTTTTGACCAAATTTCCGTATAAATAAATAAAGTGTGGACACGTTCCAAGTGTTCCAAGTGTGGACGCGTGCGGCGGCGTGCTGATACAACAACACGCCGCCGCGCGCGAGTGTGTGTGTGTGTGTATATACCTAATCTGTAGGTTGTTCATACGATGCGTAATTAATTACATAACTTTTGGTTAACTTTACTTAGAAGTTTATTAATATTTATGTTATATTAATTTTTATTTTGTCATATATGATCGTCAAATATCACATCCTCAAATATCGATAGTAATTCACCAGTCACCCTGTATAAAGGTGTGGACTAATATTCACTCAAAGAAACATTATATATGCATTTTAAATTATGTTATTATTCATTATATTGATACTTTATTTTTCATTTCCCTCAAATTAATCTATATAAAAATGATTTAACGACAAAAATCCTCCTCCTAAGTCGGTACGTTCTTGGCAGAACGGTCGTGGTCATCATGATGTGTGGTGGCACGCTTCACAACGCGTCGCCACTCGTCTCTGATGGTGGTTTTTCTTGAGCACTCATTGACAGGAGCGTCCACTGCAGTCCTGACTTGGTCTGTCCAGCGCATGGGTGACCTGCCACGCGGTCTTGTACCCTCGACTTTGCCCTGCACTACAAGCCTCTCTATTGAGGCCACTCCACGCCGCGATATATGGCCGAAATACGACAGAATACGGGCTTGAACTATGGAGGATAGACGCTGCTTTACGCCTATCTCACGTAAGATTGAATAGTTCGTGCGAAACGAAGTCCAGGGAACTCGCAACATTCGTCTCCAGCACCACATTTCCAAAGCGTCAATCTTACGTCGCTCGCACTCTCGCACAGTCCACGTCTCTGCGGCATACAAGAATATGGGGAATATAAGAGTACGCACAAGGCGGCTTTTGGTGGTTCTAGTAATGTTTCGATTCCTCCATATTCTCTTCATCCTATCCATAGCAGACCTAGTGATCGCCATACGTCGTTTTATTTCATCTGTGCAACCGCCGTTGTTAGAGATAAGCGCGCCTAGGTAAATGTACGATTGCACTACTTCGCAGTTTGCAATTTGGGTTACTTCGGGAGAGTTGTCATTGACCCGGTCGACAATCATGATTTTTGTCTTGTTGCGATTTATTTTTAGCCCAAATTGGAGACCAACGTTCTCTAGTCTCTGCAACAGGTCTTCCATATGGCTCTCACTAGTCGCGAACAAGGTGGTATCGTCCGCATAGCGTAGATTAGACACCCTCATACCGCCAATCGAAATCCCATCCGTCCAATCTTCAAGGGTGATCCGCATAATAGTCTCCGTATATATGTTAAATAAAAGTGGCGATATTATGCAACCTTGACGAACTCCGGCACTAGGGTGAAAGTGGCTAGAATACGCATCGTCTGCTCTTACCGATGCCGTTCCATCTTCATAGAGCCTTCTAAGTAGATGAACAAGGTGTTTAGGGGTACCCATTTCTAGTAGAGAATTCCACAGAATAGGCCACTTCACAGAATCAAAAGCTTTCGCGAAATCAACAAAGCATATATAGGTAGGTTTATTGAATTCACGGGACTTCTCTATTATTTGGCGAACGATAAGAATTTGCTCCCTGGTACCTTTCCCTTTTACAAAGCCAGCCTGTTCAGGTGCTATTTCTTTGTTTAAGTAGCCTTTGAGTCGCTCATTTAAGATATGCAGTAGGATTTCGCTTGCGTGGGGTATAAGTGCAATAAGACGATAATTACTGCACACCTTAGTGGAGCCCTTCTTGTGCAGCGGAACAAAGATAGTGTGTGCCCATTCTTGAGGCCATGATCCTGTTTGCCATATTTTATTACAGATCAGGTGGAAGATCTGGACACCATATTCTCCTAACGATTTAATCGTTTCAATCGGGATTGAGTCCTTGCCGACCGCCTTTCGATTTTTGAGGTGTTTTATTGCAGCTCTAATTTCATCCTTAAGTATGTTCGGCTCCATCTCTTCATCCTCTGGTCTCGTTGATAAGCAGCTTTGTGACTCCGGATCGTTATACAGCAGCTGACAGTATTCCTTCCAGGATTCGGCAATTTGCTCTATCTCTGTGACTGTTTCTCCTTTTGCATTTTCAATAGCCCAAGTTTTCGAGCTGAAAGACTTTGTGATCTGTCGGATTTTCTGATATAGGTCGCGAGTTTCATGTCTATCGGCGTGGATTTCTAATTCTTCTGCAATAGTCCGATACTTGGTGTTAAGATCACGTCTACACGATGCTTGTATTTGTGCAGATTTCTCATACAGATCTCTTACATCGCTACCTGAAGCTTTCATTCGACGTCTTTCCTCTACCAGAGCTAAAGTATGGTCGCTCATCCAGTGCTGTCTTTTACGAAGCTCCGTAGTTGGCCTTGAGGATTTCACAGCGCCTTCAATTATATACTTTGCCTGACCCCATAACTCATCCGATGACTCAGCAGCGTCTCTAGATGTCCATTGAGACCAGTTTTTCTTAAGCTCTGATAGAAACTTTGAGCCATCTTTTACTTCGAGCCGTTTTTCTGCATTAGATTTTCTTGCAGCTTTGAGTTTTAGCTGCAGCTTTGACACCAAGAGTTGATGGTCCGATCCACAGTCAGCTCCCGGCATGGTATGGGTGTTTCTTATCGAGGTTCTCCAACGAGACGCAATCATTATATAGTCAATTTGATTGCGATAGTTGCCATCAGGAGATATCCAAGTGTAGAGTCGGCGAGGATGATGTTCGAATAAGCTAATAGCAATTACCATGTTGTTGTCTGCTGCAAATTGAATGAGTCGATCACCCCCTTCATTCCGCCGCCCAAGTCCAAACCTACCGGCGCATGGGTTCATTAAGTGTGCGTCTGATCCAATTTTCGCATTGAAATCACCCATGATGACAAGAAGCTCTCGTTTGGGAAATTTTGTGATGGTAGTCTCTAAATCTGAATAGAAGGTCTCTATGTCTTCAGTACTTGCAGTGCTAGTTGGAGCATATACCTGAATAACGTTCAGGTTGATAGGGCTTGCTTTGAGTGAGATACTTATGACTCTATCACTTACTGCTTCGTATCCAATCACCGAGTTCTTCAACTGTTTCGGAATAATAAATGCTACTCCATTTCTACTGCTGTTGTTGTTGCAAGAAAAATAAACAATATTTTCTTCTGTGAGGAAATGACCATTGTCTTTCCAATGTGTCTCGCTGAGACCACAAATACTTATGTTGCAACGGTCTATTTCTTTTTCAAGGATCTTGAGTTTTCCCGGTTGCAGTAATCCGCGAACATTCCAAGTTCCTATCTTTTTAATATGTCGCATTTTCATGGAAGTTCCAGTAGTCCTTTTTCCGTGCGGTGCCTGGTCTCCTACACACACATGGCCGGTATCACATTTAACACCATCTGCCCCGGACGCAGTATGGCGCCGGTTGCTAGGCGGATCACATGGCCACTTACGTCTCTTTGCATTAACTTTAATCATGATGACTTTCTTGGGAATATAGTGCAGTGGTTTCCCCTTGCCTTCTGCACCAGACATTTTAGGAGCTATTTAAACTCCAAGGTCGCTGTAGCCTCTTCCTACTGAAGATGACGTAAATGCTTCAGTAGGGCGTATGGTTATACCGCCATTGCTCGGTCGCCATTGCCTCGTCCGTTATCTAGCAGGGAGCACCACGACTATTAAAAATAATAGTCGTCATCAGCTTTCCAATAAACATAGAAAGCCAATGCGTGCAGGTGAGGTTGACAATTGGGTCGGTTAAGATGTTATTTCCGTTCCCCCTTACTCCCCACCACGACAAAAATAGGTGGTCATTATTTATTAATTATTAGTATAGTTATACTATTTGATTTGATATAATTATTGTGAGATAATTTCAGATAAATAATAACTTTTTATATAGTTTGTCAACAATTCAATGTTAGAAATATAAAATTTTCAAAACATTGTTAACCTAATATTCTTGTAATCTAATTCAAGGTATATGTGTTAATTGTTTTAAAATATATATAAATATATATGTTTTTCCCAAACAGGTACATTTATGTTATAGTATAAAGTGTATATGGCAGACCCTGGCTATAAAGCTGGGAAATTGCCAGGAAGAAGAAGAATTAAATAGTCGATTAAATATAATTTATATGATCCTAAGTTTGTCTTACATGTATATACAGGGTGTATGAAAAACTGTGTCAACCCTCTTAACTACGTTATCAGTATCGATAATGTAACACAATAAAACAACTTACATGTACAAACTCTTCAATAAAAATAATAAAATTAAATATTAAATGAGTATTATATGTAGAGTAACAAAATGTTTGTAAACCCTGGTATAACACGATGACACGCAATGACGTCATCACAGCTGCTGCGCTACTAGTGACGACCTTGAAGTTACTTTCACCTTATTGAAAATATCGATATTTAAAAAATCATAACAATAAATAAATATTTAATATTCATATTATTTCGATACTTATTTTGATATATCAAACATTAATATTATGTTTGATGTTAAAACATCATTTTTAACAGAAATAGATTAACGATTTATCCTAATAATACAACATATGTAGTTAATTTACCTAAACAAGTTTCAAATTATAATATTTATTATTAATAAAAGTTATTTTAAATGAAATTATTTTAATGTGAAAAGCATAACTATTTATACCAATATTGAAAATGTCGATAGAATATTTATCGATATAACTAATTTTTACACTTTCAAATCTCTATTCGAACAACTAACAGAATAGTAATAATAACGCCGGCGGCCCGTCGCCTGCGGTCAATGGTCACGCATGCGCCGTAGCGACTATACGGTGTCTTGACCTTGTATGAGTCAGATGTTTGAAACATTCTTTCGAAAAATGTCGATTTAAAACTTACTTAGCCTATGCACTGTAACTGACTTCTGCTTGATTTTTTTTAAGTTATACTATTTTTTATAATAAGCTTATACTTATATGTATACGTGCCTTCAAGGGTTGACACAGTTTTTCATACACCCTGTATACTATTCTGAATATTCAGAGATATTTGACTAAAAATAATTAAAAAAACAGAATATTAAAATTCAACAAAATACACATTATAAACAATTAAATTACTTCTTATTTATAATTTTTGTTAAATAGGAAACAATTTAGAACACACAATATGTTGATAAAAATAATTATATGCACAAAGTTAATCCAATAATATTAGTTTTATAACAATGAATACTTGTAAATTTTTTAGGTGTCATTATTTAATGTCTACTCACAGTGGTTATAAACTCCAGCATGAGCTAGCAAGAAATCCAGTATATGAGGTGTTGTGCTCAACGGAAGCCTATTAGAATGATCTGCTGCTAACACTGTGCAGACATTAACGGCAAAATCCTGTTCATTTGGCATCGGCGACAACAACGATAATGTAAGCCGTTCAGATGGACCAGCTACACGATTCCCTGTACGTAGAGGTTCACCGGAAGCTAAAACGGAATTCTCATATTAATATAAGCCTGAACCAAGAAAAATTAACTTACAGTAAAAAATAATGGTAATGATTAATTCAAATATTATCTAATTACACATAGGTTTCAAATTTGCAACCTACAATCACATTTCAGAAGTTTTCCTATTTTAATATATCTTATATTTCATACATGATAATAGGTAATAGTAATTTAATAATTAATCAACATTTTTAAATTTTAATTACATATTATTCTATGTTATGACACTGTATGTTATTGTATTTAATTACTTATATTTAGTTCTTACCTGATATGTAAGTGCCGCTACCAAATGATATGCGTGGCATGCCACCACCCCTGCCACGACAAGGGTCTTCATCCATATCTAAGTCGTCATCCCTACCTGGCGGACCTTTAGCTCTTTCATATCTAGAATTATTAAATAAGTAACTAGTGAATAATAAATGCACAGACTAAATAACTATTGGTTAACAATTATAGTGCCAATTTTTATATATATAATTCTTCTGTGAGTGTGTATGTCACTGAACTTCTCCCAAACAACTGGACCGATTTTGATGAAATTTTTTGTGTGTGTTCATAGGGATCCGGGAATGGTTTAGATTCACAATTTTGTCTGCTGGACAATGTTTTTTTAAGTACTTTTTAATTTATTAGTAGCTGATACAAACCTTTTTTATTGACATTAGATTTGATAACTAACTAATATGTCAATCATTCTGTCGCACTTCAAAACCCGTATTTTATTTTATTAAAAGATTTATGCCTTTAATAGATAAACTCCAAAAATATAAATAAAAAAACAAAACAGATATTTCTTGATTATATAGGGTGATATGAAGTTCGCCGGGTCTTCTAGTGTCATACATAATAATGTCAAAAATCTGGTATGTATAAAACATACAAATATGATATTTTTACTTTGAAATGTCTTTACATAAAAAATTTATGTAAATGTCTGTAAATACAGTCACTACACTTTTAGACAGCATTTAATTATTGACATCATACCAATTCATTATCAAGTTTTGTTAATTGTTTTGTGAAACTTTTTATCCCTCAATCTTCTAACAAGCCATTTAGTGTCACACAAAAGAATTAAATTTGGACAGATACACAGCCAACAATTAGTGCTGAATATAAAAAACAATATTATATATTATATAAACATTCTTACTTCTCCAGATACATTCCATATATTCTTCTCAATAATGTAGACCCATTAACACATGGATGTGGTAAGTGGAGCTGACGCAGAAATGTTTCCCAGGTATCATTTTGATTAACCTAGAAATTAATAGATTTATTTATAATGATACACAATATTTTGATAAATGTAACATTTCTATTAGAATATATTGGAAAAAGTATACTTACTTTGCTCAGACCTCCTCTTTGTTGAACCAATGAGTACAAGAGATACAAATCTATATCTACACCATTAACAACCGGTATTTTATATGGTATACTGAAAGATAAACAAAGTTCCATTATAAAACGAACTAACAGGAGCTATGTATTATATGAAAAATCTTACTTTTTGCTTTCATTAAACTGCTTTAGTTCTTTCAAAAATGCTTCTTTATCTTGAACATAATTTCTGGATTTCGTATTTATTTGAGATTTTGCCATTTTTATGGTTGTGGAGGCAACCTAAGATGCCCTTGGCTTTTAATGATGTTCCAACACGTTTGTCTTAAAACAAACAACACTATATTATTAAAACTTTGAAGAATAACATGTTATTCGGCTTCAAAAATGTAATTTCAGTAATTAAATTGGAAAAAGTGCCGATAATTCACAATCGGATTCTCTAATACAGTTGACAGTGACACTATGTACTGGAGCATCGACGCGAATGGTGTTGTTAGTAAAAAATATCAATAATACCGCCTATTGATAAAACTTTGTTTAATAAAAATAAATGTTTGTGTTGTTGAATAAATAATTAAGATTTTTTGTAACTAATTCTAAAGGATGTAAATACTTTACCATTTTATTTAAACGAAAGTTATAATAGAGACTTTGATTGTATATTTAATATAAATTAAACCAGTTCAATAAGCAAATCAGTTAAAAATGACAGAAGTTATCTATACTAATATTATAAACAAGAAATTTTTGATTTTTGTTTGTCTCGAATAGGCTCCGAAACTACTGTACCGATTTCAAAAATTCTTTCGTCGTTGGAAAGCTATACTATTCTGGAGTGACAAATGCCATATTTAGTTTACAAAAAATGGGTTCCTTACCAAAACTCCGATAATGTAAAAAATATACCAAAAAACTTTTTTTAACCGTGAACGCTTCTAAAACGATTGAAGATACATATATAATAAAGCGATGTACTACAATTTTGTAGAACTTATCACTACCTATAAAGAACGTCGCGACATCATATCTCTAACTATTATAGTTTTGTCACAATAAGCGATTTTTTATATAAAATAAATATTTAAAATACCACTGCTTGAAAAGGATCTTTAATTGTATCTTAGTATTAAACCTTATCAAAATAAATTGTTAATTACTTAAGATCGTTTTAAAACCTTTATTTAACTTTTTGAATTATTATATAGATTCTGACATTCCATTAAAAAAACATCACGAGTTAAAAATTTTGAAAAATATCCCCTCGACGGCTAACTATGCGTTGTAGAGTTGTAAGCGTCACTCGGGCACGGAGTGCCTTAATGAAGTATAATTATAATTGTATGTATTTCCTGTAGGTATGTAACACCTTTCTGAAAGTGGACATAAATTTTATTATGCGAATCTTATCTTATCTTCTATCTTCTTCTTCTATATACAGGGTGACTGGTGAATTACTATCGATATTTGAGGACGTGATATTTGACGATCATATATGACAAAATAAAAATTAATATAACATAAATATTAATAAACTTCTAAGTAAAGTTAACCAAAAGTTATGTAATTAATTACGCATCGTATGAACACCCTACAGATTAGGTATACACACACACTCACACAGACGCGGCGGCGGCGTAGTGTTGTATCAGCAAGCCGCCGCACGCGTCCACACTTGGAACACTTGGAACGTGTCCGGACTTTATTTATTTATACGGAAATTTGGTAAAAAATTAAGTACCTATTTTTTTTACATAATTCGAATGAGAATCATGTACCGAGTATGCTCCTTAAATATTGATAGTAATTCACCAGTCACCCTGTATATAAAAATGGATTGCTGTTCCTTGGTCTCACTAAAACTCGAGAACGACTGAACGGATTTATCTTATCATAGTATTGAAATGTTCGTGAAGGTTCAAGGAAGGATTAAAAGCTGAAATTTTTTTATTAATTTCCGGGAAAACCCTAAAAACAGCGCTTTTTTATTTCCCATACAGACGGTTTTTTGACAACTAACTAATATGTCAATCATTTTGTCGCACTTCAGAACACGGAGATTTATGGCTTAAAGGTAAACACCAAAAAAATAAATAAGACAAAATTTATTTCTTGAATGAGGCAGTACGAAGTCTGCCAGGTCAGCTATTACATTTTAAAAATTGTAGTATGTTTTAATTAATAATTTAGTTTACCAGACCATAGATTAAGTTTTGTTTTTCATTTCATCATTCGACTAGCGTTTAGTGTAATTTTATTTATAAGAAAAGTTATGAATATTAGACTATTAGGGTTTTTATTATTTAAAATCTAAATTTAAATTATGTCCAGAATATCCTTTATGTTTTCATTTTTAATATAATTTTCTAAATTAAACAATATTCTTATAATATGTTCATCTAATTTAGTAAAATCTATCGTAAAGTAATAATAGACCTTCAATTTGAAGCACTATAAGTATTCCTGAAAGTGTGTCACTATTTATATTCATTGAAACAAACTTTAATATTACAAAAGACCATATACATTGGTTTATAAATTTAGTTATACTAGCGGTCATTTCAAATAGGCATACATACGTAACATGGTATATTGAAATAACAAAACTAAAACTATTATAATCAGATTCTTTTCAATATCCCTTTATATAGTCTGTCTTTAAAATAATGAACCGTCAGAATAATAAATGTCATCTATCAAAGTCAAACTTAAATGTGACTTCTGCATTGTGATTACAATTTACAAACACTAAATACATGTGGTTTTAGGTTATCAAGACTAAGTAGACGTTACTTCAAATAGTTTACTAAAAATTTTAAAATGGTAAAGAAAAAAATTGATAACCGTATAAGAGTTTTAATAGAAAATGGAGTTAAACTTGGGCATCGCACCATGTTTTTACTTGTTGGCGACAAAAGTAGAGATCAGGTGAGATTTTGTCATTAATTTTAAAATTATTTAAATCTCTAAAATTCTAAATTGTCGCTCAAAATTTTTAACATCATCATGGTTAATGAAAAACTTTGAAATGTTTCAGGTGCCAATATTGTATGATATGCTCGTAAAATCAACAGTAAAGTCCAGGCCGACAGTGTTATGGTGTTACAAAAATAAAGATGAGGCTATTAGCAAGTAAGATATGTTCATACAAGTAATCTTGAACATTTTTCATTCATCAATTTTGAAACCTGTATATTAAAGTCATAAATTTTTGATACCTTAGTCATGGCCGTAAGAGAGCTAAGAAGATTGCGGCGGGCAAATTAGAAGTATCAGAGGAATGTTTGTTTGATGCGTTCAGAGTAGCTACAACGATTCATGGCCGGTACTATTCAGAAAGTCACACCATGCTCGGTCAAACATATGGAGTGTGTGTGCTGCAGGTGGGATTTTGCCTATTTATCTTTTTCAATATTAAAATCAAATTTTTCTATAATGACGAGTTATTTGAACACTATTATAGTAAAAACTGTGATTTAATTTAAATGAAACTAATATTTTTGGAATGTACTTAGCGATTTTATTTTTGATTAAAAACTACGTACTCCCGACATTTCGGCCACTTTACAACAAATGTGATCATGGGCAGACGAGATGAACTGTAATTTAAATCTTATTACACACTTAAATAGTTGTTTCAAAAGATTAATCATAAAGACAATTCTTCTATAACAATATGTATGCACAGATTTTTATGAATATATATTTTGTAGGATTTTGAAGCCTTGACACCAAATTTGATGGCTCGTACTATAGAAACAGTTGAAGGTGGTGGACTTATTATATTTCTGTTGAAAACTATGAATTCATTAAGACAGCTGCATTCAATAACAATGGATGTTCATTCTAGGTAAGAGACTGTTACACATGTAATATAGTGTTTATAAATTAATTTGTATTAAAATTGTGAGACTACTTTGCGAGAATGAGAATTTTGAAATCTAGCCGTAGCACATGCTTGCATCATAAAAATAGTTTTATCTATACTCAGTAGGTCTGTAGAGACATACTGAGATTTTAGTTGTTCATTTATAAATCTTTGAATGATAATACTAAGAGATGCACATTTGCAAGTTGAGTGAAGTGACCATACTGATCCTCATTTAATTGACATTAGTTCTGTTATTTGGCCATAACTTTGAAATTGATAGTTTGATCTAAATTTATTTTTGTAAATATCATCCTACCTAACAGAACTATCTAACAAAAAAAGAAGCCTTAATTTGAAAAGACAATTGGTCGCTGAGATTATCTCTGTGGAAGAATGACCTGAAATCACCCATATAGCACTTCACTTGCTTTGCTAGCTTCACTCAATCTATGGTTAAAAATGCAGAAACTTCTATACATAGTATAACAATCAAAATTTGTGGTAACTCTATAGAATTGTCAATACTTTTCAGGTTTAAGACGGAGGCCTATGATACTGTAGTGAATCGTTTCAATGAACGTTTCTTATTGTCCCTGGCTGATAATCCTCGGTGTCTAGTGTTGGATGACTCGTTGACAGTACTTCCTATATCATCGAGGACTGCCCAAGTTGAACCTGTTGATGTTGTTCCGGAGGTGAGTAATATTTATATCATGATTTGTATTATAATATATGTATGTATTTGTTTGATTTTCTATAGTCTATTGATAGGATTATTCTTTATCTGTGATTCATTTTATATCTACTACTTGGTAATTAAAAACATATAAAAATTTCTTTCTCATCAATTTCTACATAATTTCATTGTCAACATTGTTTTATTATAAAATGATACAAGTTTAGCTGTAGGATAATTCTAACACCAAAAACATGCCTGTTAAAAAGGGGGCCAAGTTCCAATCGGCTAATTGTTTGCCTAAAAAAGGGGTGAAATCCAATCTAATGCCAAGTTTAGATGCACTTTGAAATCGATCATAATCATCTTCATCAACAGCATGATCCACTGGTAAACATTTGCCATTCCCAAGACTCGCCACCACACCCAGTCCTCTGCCTTCCACATCCAGCCACTACCCGCCAGGTTTTTGTGCTGTACGTAACACTTAATTAATTGTATCATTAATTTATTATTTAGTTATATAATTATTTATATTTATATAATTTAAATATTATATAATTTAAATAATTAAATTAACCTGCCAAGTTCAAATTTAGAAGTATTATAATTTTAGATATTTTTAACCAAGCACCTACGTATTTTCACAACTATACCATATTTTAAGTTGGGTGTATGGTAAAGTGAATTTCGGTCAGATGGACCGTTGACGTGAATAAGGTGGCGGGTAGTGGCTGGATGTGGAAGGCAGCGGACTGGGTGTGGTGGCGAGTCTTGGGAATGGCAAATGTTTACCAGTGGATCATGCTGTTGATGAAGATGATTATGATCGATTTCAAAGTGCATCTAAACTTGGCATAAGATTGGATTTCACCCCTTTTTTAGGCAAACAATTAGCCGATTGGAACTTGGCCCCCTTTTTAACAGGCATGTTTTTGGTGAGATTTCAATACTTTTTTTCAAGATATCGTACATACAATCGTACTATACAGCCGTACAATGCATAACTTACAGCATGAAACATACAGCTACCATCTGATGGCATAGGAATTACCCTATGTGGTATATCTCCGCCAACCACCGAAAGATGTACAATTTCCATCGTTGGTAAATGAATAGTAGAAAAGAAATAGAGTGAATTTGTGCTTTTAACATACACAAGTAATCAATCAATAAGCAATATCAAAATTAATCCTTTAGCAAGTCAAATCAGTGATCCATTTAATCGTAATCGTAACCATATATAAGATATCAAGACATAAGTGTAGAAAGAAATAGAAAGAAATGACCATCGATTCCTTATCGACTTTCATTCATATATACTGCAGACTAAACAATATCGCGATTCAATTATACCGCTATCGCCATCTATCGAAAGTAATTTATAACAATAGAAACCTGATTTTTTAGGTAAGCAATATTTAATTAAGTTATACAGTGTGCATTATGTATACATGACAATATTTTATATCCCTTATATATATATCAGTTCTTAAGAAGCGCCCCAAACTTTTTTCACAATAATATTAATTTAAAAATAAATTAACAAACAATAAATGGTATTCTTGTGAAAAAAAGCGTGGGGAGCTTCATATATCACTTCTTGAGAAGCGCCCCACGCTTTTTTGCAATAATACCATTTATTGTTTATTTTAAACAATTTATATTAAATTGATTTCCAAAGTTGTAAAGGTTAAATTAGTTTCCACGCGGTTTCTTTCATCATTGGAGCGTGTTTTTTAGTTTTTTTTAAACTATATTTATTTTTAATTTTTTAGTTTCATTTATCACCGATTGATAGATGTACTCATATTATTAATTATTAATATTTCATTATTATGTATTTTATTGTGCTGAGCTGAGCGCCTATATAAAGGTTTTGATTACCTGTCAGTGAGTCAGTGCCAAAATTAGCTATTTTCACAGGGTCATATTTCAGGATCTACTGAAGCTTTATCTATGAAATTTGGCATACTGCTTTAGGACTAGTATATAATTACGTAGGTACAATTTTATCTCTGTACTTGCAATAGACACTGAGCTACAGGGGGTCAAAAGTGGGTCGAATTTATTAAAAATTCGATATTTAGAGTTGAGGCAACTCACGCTTGACCGATTTCTTAAATTTCTTAATTTTTTGTTAATCTACATATAACACACAACCTGTGTACCAAATTTCATAATGCTAAAACAATGGGAAGTGGCCTAGAGGTTTTGATTACCTGTCAGTGAGTCAGTGCCAATAGTAGCTATTTTCACAGGGTCATATTTCAGGATCTACTGAAGCTTTATCTATGAAATTTGGCATACTGCTTTAGTACTAGTATATGATTACGTAGGTAAAATTTTATCTCTGTACTTGCAATAGGCACTGAGCTACAGGGGGGTCAAAAGTGGGTCGAAACGGTTCGTGTAAATATAGTGCACGGCATGCGCCGGCCTGTGGAACTTGGCCGGCGCACTACCGTGCGCTTAGATAATATATTCAATTATTATGTAGCTTAAATGTTACCTTAAAAACAAAATATTGCATAAAATATGTTTGAAATACGAACGACTACAATTAATTTTATTGTTCTTAAATAAAGCTTTGGGAACAGACTTGAAAATTTAAGTTTGTTCAAAAATAATCTCTTTGTTTTAAGACTAAGAGTTGATATTGAATTAAGACTACGTTAAGTATTAAGAATGTTGTCTCCTCACAACATGAAGTGTACATTGAGACAAACTAAACAAAGTTTCACTTATGTGTTTAAACTTTCTGAATTGTTTGAAGTCAAAAGACATTTTGTAAGAATAATGAGACCTAAGATTTTCGCGAATACACATTTAAATGAAACTAATATTTTCGGATTTTTACTTCGCGTTTTATTTTTGATTAGAAACTACATACTCCCGACGTTTCGGCTACTTTTCAGCAACCCTGATCACGGGCAGACGAGATGTGAGTGTCTGTCAGTTGGTCTGGTCATTTTATCTCCTACCGCCATCGATTTCTTAATTGTCTTGCGTACCGCTCTGGATGTCAGATAAAGCCACCTACAGTTGAGCGACAACCTGCAATTCTACCATATGTAAAGGGAGTTACTGACAGAATAGGCAACATCTTGAAGAAGGTTTCAATTAAGACCAAATAGTAATATATCAATTAAGAAGAAATAGTAATATATATTTTTAATAACTCCATTCAAATTCCGATGTTATAATTACCTATATAATTCACAATATATTTAATATGGTCAGGTGCAGAAGCACATCTGCGAAATATCGTAGAACATAACAAAGAGATGTTTCTTGAGTAATTGGTACATTATACGCACTGACAGGTTCTAATGCGGGTTACTATTTGACTTTGGTGACACGTAAAGGTGATTTACTCTCTGATTGGTAAATTATACTGAAAAATGTTTCTTCCCTTGTCGTTATTATATTAAATATTTAATATATCTGCGTGTAGCAAAAAAATTGCCACAGTGGTGGTAAAGAATCTGCTGTACTGTATAAAATGAAACTTTGAGATTTTATTATTTTGTTCTTTATATTTAAATTGAAAGACTGAAACCTAAGAATTAACACAAAACATTGTACATAACATATAAAAAGATATATCGCATAATGTATTTTTCAGAATATAAGTTAAAAATTAAAATATTTCTGTTGATACTATTCAATTGTAAATTAACATAGATTTGATATTAAAATTGAATAACCGTATTTGTTTCCTTATTATCAAAAGGTTTTACGTACAAAATTCTTGTTATGGAATTATTATTTTAACTTTTCGGGTAAGAATATAACAAAAATTTGACAATACTTATAACTTACACATGTATCTAGGTAAGATGCCATCAACGCTAACCGTTGAATTTTTGAATGGCATTGTAATTAAAATAAAAAGTGCCTCCTTTCCTTGGAGAAATACCGATTTGTAAACTAAATAGCAGCATTTTTTTTCTTTAGCAGCAATACAGATCCTTATAGACGAAGTACAGAAAAGTATGGTAATGATAGGTTTTTCTCACTTAAAAATTATGTTTTGTTTTTACTATAACTGCTTTTGATGGTCAATAACTATCCGTTATACACAAAATCTTTGAAAATAAGTGTAATTATGTTTTATAAGTCTTAACATTTGTATAGATGACAGCTTGTAATCGTATATTTAATTTGTTCTTATATTATTTTTTATAATTAAAATTACTCGACCAACTATGTACTAATAGCGACTGTTGGATATATTAAAAAAGTTGTTGTATAAACAAAAGAAACATCATTGTACACGTAATATTTATAAAAGTCGTTTTTTATTATCAACTTCATCACTAGTTTAATATTAAATTCCTATACCATACGATTATTTTTTATATCATTATTTTTTATATAAGCCTTCGAAATTTTAACTGAATTATTACTTAGCTTTCTACCTTTTTCGTGATGGAAATATAAATTTATTAATTTTATGTAATTAACTGTAAAAATGAGTAAAAACTTTCTAAATTCTGTAACAATTTCCTCTATCATCTTCAAATCTATTTCAATTCAAAAAAGAATAAAATTCAGAACAATATGGAATTATTTGTATTTTCGTTATAAATTTGATATCATTTTAATTCAATACGGGGATTTTTTTTATTTTTCACATATAATTCTTCGAACGGGATAATATGTTTATGAATGAGAAACTGTTAGGGCTCTGTATTTTCATATAAGGTTGATAATTTATGATATAAGTTAAGATACTCGATCTATACGTATTATAGAGACGAATCTTCTTAGCATTCAATGGATTCACCGTGAGGGTGCCGGGTCCATCGCGTTGCAGGGAGAGGAGCTTCAACAGTGACTGGGACTAGCGACCCAGGTGTAGGTTTAAGGGGCCCCTTAACTAACGCGCGATATACGCTCACCTCCACTGTCCAAGTTACCTATATATACAATAAGTAATAAAAGCAAAATTTTCAATCAACTTGATTGATTGGTTTCTATAGGTTTTTATTGCGTGACGAATATTGGTTCAAGTAGGGGATAAAGTAAAAAAGATTAAGAAGGTTAATTTAGATTTTCTTCGGTTTAACTTACATAATTCAAGAATTATTATCTTGTAATATTTCCAG